CCTCTGCGTTGGTAGTATCTGTAGGCTGCTCTGTGGTGATTGCGTCTTCCTGTGATGGTATTGAAAAACCATCTGATGCACTACCGCCTTGATCAAGCTCTTTTTCATTCTTCTCCATACCAACCTTGTCATCCACATCGGATATGTTTGCATCTTCACTTAATGGTTTTGCATCTTCTTTCTCTCGTTTGGGAATGTCAATTGGTACTGCTGCATCTCTTTCCAGAATTTCTGCATTTTCCTCTACTCCATTGCTGCTGTGCATATTCTCCGTCCCCAAAATAAATGGTGTTTCACCCAATGCTTCCAAGTGGTGGTGCTCTAGACTCGCTGTATCAGAGACTTTTTCGTCAAGGGTAAGTGCAGTAAGGTCTACTGTGTCTTTTCTGATTTCAGCAGAACCTTTAATGCTGGTCTCTTCATCAAGGACTCCTCGAGGAAGTTCTTCCAACTCATCCACACCATCTCCACGCTCTTCTAATTTCTCAACTACTGCTGTGTTCTCATCAAGCAACTTATCTGTTTTTTCTTCAGATTCAAAAGGTTTTACTGATGCTCCATCTCCTGTCTTCACTGCACTGCTGCCCGAAACGCCTTCCATTACCTCCTCAACGTCCTTGTTTTCTTCTTTTCCCTCTAGTACTGCATTGCCTACATCATGGGAGTCGGGTAGCATCTCTGTTGCACAAAGAGGCTGCTCTTCACAAAGTCCTTCTGCATCAAACTTTATTCCTTCATCCCCCTTAGTAAAATCATCATCCCTTTCCAACTTTTGCACCTCTTGGCCCTGCAAGGAAGGGTTGTCTTCCACCGCCGTGCATGTATCCTCACTAGATTTGGCAGTAAAAGTCTCTTCACTTTCTGCTGGTTGCTTTTTACAGTTTAGAAGATCCAGCTTCTCCTGCAGGCTAACAATCTCCTTCGCTACGGATTTTCTATATTCCCTAACAGCTGGATGCAACCCCTGGCAAAAAGAAAAGAGATTTTAATTACTCCAACAAAAATGAGAGAAAAGAACTTAAACACGCCGCACTTAATAAAATCAGACATGAAATCAGCAACGAAAAACTTAGGCGACATGTACATTGAAATACTCAAATCTCAGTGGTTTAGGCAGTAGGCCAACAATTACACAAAACAACATGACACAACGTGAATCATGGAGTGAAGAAGCAATATTATCAAGTTGATTTTGTATAACCATTTACTGCTTTCATCTTAACTGAGTTAGAAAGTAAGAACATTCAAACAAAGACTCCCACAGAAATGAATAAATTTTGAATTTATGAAGTACCATTCCAAGCTCAATATATACGAGTGCTATTCCGTGAAGTAAATCATTTCAAATCACATTCTGCATGATGGTTTCAGTAATTAATGTTATCCACATACCTGAATAGCGTCTAGTTTCAGCAGAAGACTCATTATGATTTCTGTGATAATAGTTCTCTGTTTGTTGTCGACTCCATTGTCAGCTGAGCTCTCCAAATCCTGAATACGTTTTTTGATCTCAGCCATCTGCTCCTCTATTTTGGCTATCTGCTTTAATTTCTTCAGAGGCTCCCATCTCCGCACGTTGAAACCTCGGTATACCGACTGAATCATGGTAGCTGCCTTATCATCGGACAGTTGACTCCTCTTTACTCGTTTCATCTCATTGCCTGCACCCACATCTACATTGGCTGCTTCTCTGGCCTCACCTCTGTGATGTCCTTCATTGCTGGACTGAGCTTTTGCAGCTACTGCATCAGGTTCATCTTTTGGCTTATTTGCCGCTTTACTAGTATCGCCTTCACCAGTTTGGCTCCTTGCCTGGCGTTTCAGATCAGAGAAAACAGTACATTGATCCTGAAGTTTATCTTCTTTAGATGTCCCTTGGGCAACCTCAACAACTTTTGTCTTGCCTTTACTTGGCTCCACTTCTGTGCTTTTTTTTGGCATGCTTGTTGTTGATGATTTGTCTAGTTGAACATTCTCCTTCTCATTTGATTGGATGGGAGGTTTGGAGCTCTCACTGCGCGATTCTACTAATTTCCCTTTCCCACAAGGAGGACTAGGAGACCTAGAATTGCCATTACTGCTTTTCTTCCTAGGAAGGGGATCAACCCTTAAACAAACAGGAGGCAACTTCGATGACTTTGTAGGAGAAGGGGACTGTTTCTTACCACCTTCTTGAGCAATTTTCTTCTGTTTAGCATCACTTTCATGCCTCTCGGAAGCCTCCTCTTTTTTTCCATCAAAGATCTCATTCTGCTCCACTTGCTTTACAGGAATGATTTTCACAACAGTCCCTTTATTCAGTCCCTTTCCACGGATTTCACTTCCGCTAATCACTTCATTTTCTTTAGAACTGCTTCTCTTGTCTTCAGAATCATGTAACATTGGTTTGGTTAATTTTGAGGGGGAGGTTGGCTCCTTCTCAGCAATGAGGCCAGACTCAGTTTCCTTACCAACTCTCTCTCCGTCTTCCTCGGGCTTATAAGGCATCCAGATTATTGGAAATGGAAACTGCTTCCTGATCGAATCATCATCTTGTTGTTTTCCGGGTAAATCTCCCGTTTGCTTTGGTGATTCTGAGCTGTTCCCATAATGAGAAGGCCATAAATTCCAGACATTTGGTTGCTGGAAGGGCCTGAAATCGCCAAACGGCTTCACAACTTGCGGATTCTCCTCCTCCTCTTTACAATTGGATCCATTAGGCTTCATGTGCTCCCTATTCTTCATGTCATCAGGTGGTAAGCTCACAACTGGATAAGGACAATTCTTGAACCCAAAAGGAACCAATGACTCGTTACTTTCGTTTTTCTTATCCTGGCCATGTTCTTCTATTTTGACACTGCTCCCTCCTCCTTTCTTACTACCACATTGATGATTTGAACAACCACAACAGTGATGATCTCTGCCCATATTCTTTTCATACTCGTATCGGGGCTGCTCCATACTAAAATGTGGAGGAGGAACATAATGAGTAGGATACATCACAGGATATGTAGGTGGTGGAAGGTAAGGATACGGAGGGCTAAATGCACACTGGCTCGGAGAATTGTTATGGATACAGCAACTGTGACACTGAGGTGGATAAGGATGCCCATAGCTGCTACCACCACAAGGCCAAGATTCATAAGGTAATGTAGATCTAGTTGGATCAATGTTCATATGATGATGAGGATTCGATTCGAAGTGGGGATAATAATGAGGATTGTAAGGTACTTGGTTCCGTTGGTAAGGATTCATGGGATACATAGCTTGGTTCAAATGCAGGTCCAAATTAAGCTTCCCTTTTATGTGTGTATAGAATTACCTATGAAAAAAAAAAACTTCAGCAGATGCTCAACCCAGAAAAAAACCAATCAAAGGAATCAGGCATTTCTGCACAAAATTAGTAGCATCTCCATCACCACTTGTCAGACAATCTAAGATAAATTCCAAAATCGAAACAGATTTTATATTTGACATTTTCCTTCCTTCATCTGTTACTAAGACAGTAGACAGTATATATGGTTTAATCAGTCTTTGGACACTATATCACCTTTTTTTAAACAATTAATGCTACCACCAACAACATATCCATCTAGTGTAATCCCAAGGTGTGTGAACTTATATAAAATTGAGTAAGACACACATACTATGTAACAATTCGTGTGAGATGCACTAGTCCTACATGCTAATTGATTTGCATTATGTCAAATAGGACATGTGTGTACTTATTTAAACGTCTACCGATACACCCAAAATTGAAGCGCTCAAGTTAAAAGGATATGCTTGGTATAATAAAAACCGCAAAATCAGAGTGAAATAACATGAATGAAACAGAGGGTTACTGGCCATATTTATAACCTAGAAATAACCAAAACTCCATTAGATAAATCAAAACCGAAAATTTCACCAGCAATTCAGAACAAGGATACACAGGAAAGCTGAAAACAAACCATATACTTTATTAAAAGAATATAAGATGAACTTACAATTAAGGAAGAATAAAAGCTCCGTCCAATCGGTTCCACAAAATCCAAATAACTCAATTTCCAGCACAAATCACTCCACCAACCCAGCTTCTTCAGTACTCAAACTTCGCTTCTCTCTTTGTAAAACTGCTCTGAAAATCTTTTTTTTTGTTTTTCAATCTGATCAGTTTGCTTTAGCCATTTTCATATTTATACTGACAAAGTTTAACAAGTTCTACGTCTTTCGAGATGTTTCGCGCGCTGGTTAACATGTCTCCCTATTTCATCCTCTCTTGCCACGTAATTAATTTTTCTAGTTGAGAGATTATTTGATACGACGGGGTACATATTATCCCCATGTTCTGCTCAGCTAGTTAAGTGACACGTGGCTGTCAGATGAGTTGGCAGCAGTTTAGTTATTTGTTTGTTTTTGAATTACACAGTAACCAGAATCATCGAGAGTTTCCTTTTGCCTCTAGATATTTCCATTGCCAGCTGTCTTTTTAACTTTTAATTTTTCTTTTTGTGGTGTGATTTTTATCATTTTAATTTATTTTTTTATATAAATAAACTGGTAGGAAAAGAAAATGAGATTATTTTACATGTTACTCCCTTTGCCAATCTATGTAATTCTTTTCTTTTAGTCTGTATTAAAAAAAAAAAAAAATCTGTTTAAAATATTTATTTTTAAACTTGTCATTTTATCATCAATGAGATAATTAACAGATAACCATATAAATATCTTTAAACGACAAGTTTTTCAAAAGAATAATTTTTTTTTCTTGTATTTAACATAAGTATTATTATCTTAAAACCATTTGTATATAATCTAAACAAATACAATATGGGGTGTGGAGTGGGGGGCGGGTTAAAATGAGGTGCGTTGGAGGATGGGGAGAATACGATCAAATATAAAATACCACTTGTGAAACTTGTTTTCCCTAATTTCAGTAGATAAGTCATTTTCCTCATTTTCACATACTTAGTTTTTTTGAAAAATATTTTTCAAATTTTTTTTATCAGTCGAACACATAATATCTAGTCAAAGTGCATCACATGAATTGAAAAGAAAAAAGTGATATTATACTAATTTTATGAGAAGAGTACAAATAGGTTAGACATGGCTTTTAATGGAGGAACTATAACCAGTTTGATCATCATAATACTTGGACCACAACATAACTCCTCCATACTTGGCTGAACCCTTTATAGTTGGAAGTACTTGAGAAGTTAAATCACCAACTGGAATAAATCCACTTCCAGCTGCATCAGGAGCAGCAGGCAATCCAAGAAATATTTTCTTTGCAGGAATTAATGAAATCCACTGTTTCCATGAATCTTGAAAACTAGTTACATTTTCTTGATTGTACTGACATGGTGGATTGTTATAAAATTGTACCCAAACATAGTCAAAAACTCCTGTTTTTAAGGCCCCACCAACACAAGCATCAGGAAATGGACACTGGGGGGCTGCAGTTAAGTACACTTTCTTGCTTCCTCTGTTGCTATTATATCTTGCAAGATTCTTAGCAAGATCACCCCAATATGGTCCTTCACCGCTCTCTAGATCAAAGTCGATTCCATCCAAAATCGCGTCTCCTAGAGGGCGAGAGGCCGATTTTCCACCTAAAAAGTTGTTCCAGAGATATGCAGCAACTTGATAAGCATCATCAGGGGAGGCAATTGAGTATGCTCCTGCTCCTCCCCCGATCGATAACATGACTTTGATTCCTTTAGATTGACAAGATTTTATATCAGAACTCACGTTTACACATCCATTTGGAGTGTATGGATCACAATGGCCTGCTAGATTGAGCATCGCGTTTCTACCATTTCCAAACGTTGAAAGAAATGCAATGTTCACGAAGTCATAGTTCCCTGTAGCACAAGTCTCAGCTAGTGTCCCTTCATTGCCGTTCTGTCCCCAGTATATAGCAATTCCTCCTGCTTCAGACCTTGACACTAGTGCTAAAATCAACAATATTGGAACATAATGAAGAAAAAATGAAGTCTTGATTGCCATTTTCTAATTGGATTTCAATGTTGTTCTTGTTGGAATAATGCAACAAGTTACATGCTTTTTATAGGGAAAAATGAAGGCTGTGAAAAGTTGTCCTTTGTACTACTTGTAGACAAAATAGAAGCCCTGTCACTCTTTGTGCCTCTGCGTAGCGTAGCAGTTGTTAATTAAGTTCAATATTTGACTGCTAAACAATAGAAACTTTGAAAGCAAAAATAACCACAGGCGGCCAATCTTCTCAAATAAAACTTAAGCCAACTCCTCAGATACTTACAACGTGTCAATCAAGACTTACTGTAGATTTAAGCCGCATCTCGAGTAACCAACGTAATTTCACTTAGCAGAAAGGTATAGAGAGTTTTCTTAAGTTACAACACATACAATTGCTGACGCTCAGCGTGTGACTGTTAGCTTACAAATCCATCCTTCTCATTCTCCTATATGGATGAGTAAGGCTTGGGAGAGAAAATGTGATGCAGAAAAGAATTAAGAAAAAAAATGTAGAAAAGAAAGACTAACAAGATACATGCTTGGCAACAATATCAGAAGGATGCATCTATGCTCAATACCCTCTCATACCTGTAATAAAAACCTATAGCATCCCTCTGAACAAAAATGAAAAAATGGTAGGGATTTCGAAAAAATATATATATTGACCAAATTAGACTATTTAACTTTGGACAGACTACCTGTAGACTAGTGCTACCTCATAAGCCTTGCTGTTGCTGTTGTCGTTGTTGTTGTGTTTGAATTTTCCACATCTTCAGGAGGAGGCTTGACATATTTTCCTAATGCTTTTTGATGAGTTCGATTCTTAATCCTTTTGATTTTATCCTTACTCTGTTGCCTCCTTTTCTCTTTCTCTTTGTTTTTCAAATTTCTTTCTTTCTCATAGATACCTTGCCAGAAAACTTCACCAGTTGACGGCCACAACCACCTCCTTTTTGGACGGTCAGAATCTGCCTCCTCAGCCAGTTCCTCGTCCATGCTCTTAAGAGTGTTAAATTGGAACCATTTCACCCACATTTTGCCTTTACGGCTTTTTAGTTTATGTTGTTCCTCCATCAAGCCTGTCTGTGGGTCCACATACATCATTCTTCTTGCACTATGGTATGCCCAAACATTTACAAGCATCTCAATGACTCTTGAATAACAATGTTTGTCCTGAAAACATGTCAGAAACATTTGATGGGGTTACAAGCTAAGTCCATAACGTAGGGGGAATGTGTACCACAAGGGATAATTCCTCCTAATGTCAGTAAGACATGAATTTCAAGATATTCTTTTTAGAGTTCAATTTCAATACTTCTCTAGTTATTAGACATATGGCTCCTCCTTTAGCACTTTCTGCTAGTTGTTTAACAATCAGGTCTCAGAAGCATGAGCTTAGTAAGTAAATTCTTTACCATGTGTGGATGCATGAAGTAAACATCAAAAAGTGCATTTTGTTCACATTTTAATGTTGTGTGCCTCCAAAATTAGCATCAGTACCTTGGTCAAACTAAGATAACAACGGCCACTTCGATGGTGATCTTCGTAAAATTGAGAGTCGAGTGCATCAACAAACATCCTGCAAAGGAAGATGGCATCTTTAAGAGATCGTTCAATGAGAAAAAACAATTCAGGGGTCCAATCTCAGGATTCAACTATGACTTGCAGAGACAAAAAGTGTTCAAACCTTGAAAACATTACAAATTCTACAAAGGACTTGGTAGGCAAAACCCAACTGTGCATGACAGACCATGTGCCATCCACAGGCATGGGAGGAAGAGAGCTCAAATTCTGCTTTAACCCATACATTTTTTGGAGGGCCTCAGAGAAAGCAAACCTTCAATAAATGACATGAAAAACATTAGGTAAAACATCATTAACAGTATCAAATAAAATTTTGTTTTTGAAGCAGGGTGTTGCAATATGGGAAAATAAATTAAATAATGTAGAGAGTCTTACTGGCAATTTCCAGCATTAAGAGCATCACAAAATGACCAGAAATCTTGTTTGAGTGGGTTCCTTGGATCCACATCCATACGAGCCCAAAAATAGAGTGTGTCACCATGCCTTCGCGCTTCAATAGCTTCAAGTAGTGACTTTTCAGCAGTCTTGGACAATGATTGCTGTTTAAGTAATAATGTTAGTGTAAATTGTAAATCAAAATAAAATCCGATAGGTACAGTAATGCATTTGCATTTAATACATTAATGACTTAAATTCAATTGCCAAGCAAGACCAAACGACTAAAAAGATCTACAAAAACAATTCAGCAAATTACTCCTTGTTTTGTTCAAGGCAGAAGTGAAGAACCTCTGGCCATTAAAATCTGACAGGCTTCAGCTGGAGCAGTAAATTTGAGTATCAATTAGCACTCATTTACTTGACAAGTCACACTGGACAATAGTTAGGTAGAGTCAAGATCCAAACTCCTATTTTCTAACACATTAAAATTGTTTTTTCAGTATATTTTAAGATCTATCCACTCTAAATGAAATTTAAGTTAAAGAGATCGGAAGAATATAGGCTCACCAAAGGATTCCTGGCAGTCACTTATCCACCCAAAGAGCGAAGGAAAGAGGATATCCAGTTAGAGCTTAATTTGTTTGTTCATGAGCAACAAGGGTAGTGTAATACTTGAGGTAGTATATGCATACTCATGCTACTTTTCTGGTAGTAAAGTATTTTGTTCATTTGCAAGTAATGCTATGTTTTATAGTTATTCATGGCAAGCATTTGCTTATTTCCTGGAAGAGAGACAACAGACAAGGATGACTTAGTATCCAGACAAAAAGCCCACATTAATCAGCACTCCCGTTGAGAGAAATCATGCTTAACACAAGGCATTTGACCCGCGCCTAAGCTAAATTAAGGACAAGAGCCCGTACACTACACTCTGTTCAGTGTTTGTGGATATGCTATCAAATTTTACCGCGCTAACAAAAGAACAAGTTGCCTTAAAAAATGAAAGCAGAAACATCCATGAATAATATTTACCTGTCTTGCTGTTGCTCTCCAAGATTGAAACCCTATCCAGGTATTTTTGTGTATCCTATCAATCCTGTTAGCAACAGCGAAAAAAGCTCCATATTCACCAAGAACGTCTCTATAGTAAGGGTTATTTAGAAGTGAAAGCCGAGAAGGAGCATCAATATCATCATGACCGGGTCGTCGCCCTTTGCTGGACTGTAATAAGCCAATTTCAGATAGATACATATCAGACTGATGAATTACATTTTTTTTACTTACCAGCTTCAAAGAGATAATAAATCAACTGTCAAAAAATTTGGCAGCAAATTCACATCAAAAGATCATAACTGAATACATCTAGATGAAAATAATAGCTAACTTCCACCAATCAGGGATATTACCATGTCATTTTGCAAATTAAGTGATACTTCCTCTCTAGCTCAGGTTGGTATCGAATTTCAATGGAGATATAGTTATGAACTGATAAGCCACAGAAACAACCCTCACATAGAAAATTGCCAATTCAATTTTTGAAAAGATTTACCACAGAAGAATTGATAAAAGGGAAGGAAAAAGAAAACCACCAGATATATAAGGCAAACTGGTGACAGGCTTTACAAAAATGTAATTTTTTAATGAACATATAAAATCTATTACTAATCTTCGATTCAGTATTTTTTCAGTGGCACAAAATTTCAGGTCTTTGCATAAGGTCCATTAATATATAAAAACTAAGGAGAGAACTAATACTTTATCCTACATAACCTGTCAAGCAAGCTATGGAGAAATGTGAAGCAATATTACTCACAAGTCCAAGGCCACGATAAAGTGATGTACTATGCAAGAAGGGCCAGGTCCCTTCTCCAAAATAAGGCTCATAAATGCACAATGGTTGACCAGTTCTTTCAAGCTCCCCTTCATCCCTTTCGTGCAAATCGTTCCTAGACCGATCAGCTCTTTTGGCACTTCTATATACTTCCTCCCATGTTCCCCGAGGTTGATCAGTTCTGCCCTTCAACTGCATCGAATTTAAAATGCAAAATAATAAAGAGTCACATTAATTTCCGAAATTTTCCAGTTACCAAACAACTCCTTTTTCTTTGTTGGTTGAAGTAATAACCATTCACAAAGTCAAGCATTTAAGGGAGATCAAACAGAAGAAGTAAAGGAAACAACAGCAAGGCCATGATCAATTACCTCCTCGTCTTCTCTTCGCTTTCTCACATTAGCTATCTCAGTACTTCTGTGATCCTCCCAAATGCTGTACAAAAAGTCCTCATTCTTTTCCACCACAGCTGCAGAACCCTCTCTTTGGGTCGGATTCCATTGCCTTTCAAACTCATTCAAATATTTTGAGGTCTTCAAACTGTTGTTCTGAGAATATTTTGTCTCGATTGCTTCAAAAAGTTGCCATTGCCATTCTGCTTTTGGTTTTTCAGGAATTTCAGTGACAGCCTTGGGATATGCAACTTCGGATGGAAATCCGAGAATGTTCTCCAATAACTGAGCATACCCTTCCACACTTTCTGAAACCATAAGGTTCCTTGCAGCACTTTGTCCAACTGAAGCAGCCTTGTGGGCTAAAAGGGACAGTTCACCATTTGATACTACTTGCAACATGATCTGTGCTAAAACGTTGACATTTTCTTTGGGAAAAAGATAGCCGTTCACCCTATCATCGACCTAATAATAATGAAAAAATAATCAGTCTAGCTTTAAAAGTCAAAAACCATCCTATCATCAAACCTGATAATAGAGTAAAGCATGTAGTCTCTTGCTTTAAAATTCGAAAACATATCATTATGCATTCAAGTCAGTGAAGACGTAGTGATTGTCAATTGTTGCCCGGAAAGCACTGGGTGAGATAAATGACAAAGGATAAGGAGTACAATCTTAACTATCAGTGCATGAGATATGTTTGACCAAATGATTTGTGCATTCGGTGTGATAAAGACAAATTAAACATAAAAGTTTTGAGTATGGATACAAGAGAAACTAAAGTTAAAACTAGGCCAAAGAAAAGCTATGAGTTTCTTAAAGAATATCAAATACCAACCATTACCAGTCTGCCAAAAGAACAAGTGTAAGCATTTATATAGCTAAATCATTTGTTCCATCCTTGTAGGAACTAAGTTATCAGATTGGAAAGATTTCTTTAGGAGTTTAGGTGATCATCTTCAAACACTTCTCCA